GAGTACCCAGGGAGGTGAAGAAGTTCCATAGATGCAATATTTGCCTTGAAAAGATGTGTTTGAATGAAGTAATATATTTCATCCCACCTTCATTCACTAGCCTATAAACCAAGCACACAAGATATTTGAAGGTGGCCCTTTGGCAAAAAGCTTCTGGAGCAGGACATGCCCTTTCCCATGTGTCTGGGAAGGACCCTGAGGGGCTGCAACCTCTGCTCACCCAAACTGGACTGGTCTACAAGCAGGAAAATGGCCTCATTACCCTGAACACCCCTGCAGTGATGGATAATTTGCTGCTGCCCAGAGGTGAAACAGAGTAAGAACAAAGTGTTTTGTGCAATTGGAGCCATGGATGCGCTTGGGCTGTCCAGCCAATGGATGGACCAACAGAGGCTTGTGCATCCCTTGTGCCCCACGGCTCTGCTACACCCCTTCACGAACGTGTCTCCTGGACCCAGGCTTGCTTCAGGCTGTCTGGCAATAATGCACAGACTTGGGCAAGACGAGTCTCCTGGAGCCATGGGACAGCCAGGCTGGTGGCTGGAGAATACACCCATCTCGTTCACATGGAGACCTTACCGTTGGGTGGTGTGAAGAACCTGGCACAGTTGTAGTAATCCAGAGATACAGGCTCCCTGCAAGAAGAGCAGCTGCTGTTAGCTCCTCCTGCCCAAGGCAGCCCACGGGCTTCCCAGTCTGGAGAGCCAGGACTGCACTGGGACCAGTACGGCTCTGCTCAATCGTGCTGGTGAGCAGCAACCAGCTACTTACACGTAGGCAGCGTCCCCTCGCAGGCAGTCCTCTGCAAGCACAAAGGGTTTGTTGTCAGCACACCATACCATTGCATAAACTCAAACCATGTCCCAAAGCCCAGCTGGACAAGGTCCCTGAGCACAACTAGAGCTGAGGTCCCCAGAAAGCCCCAGCACAGCCCCAAAGGCCATCTGCGAGCAGAGCTGGGAGGCTGGAGCAGGGGGAGGCAGCCCTGATCCACCCCAGACCCTGGGCTTGTCACTTCTCATGGACAGATCCTGCCAGCTGGCAGGGAGATCAGGAATATCCTCCCTGCTTTGGGACAGGAGAGCACAGCCCCACACACCAATAATCCTCTTAGGGCAGGTGCCAGCTCATGCTGTCCAGGGAGGGAGTGGGGGGCTCACGAGCATCTCGTCCTCCTCCGCTCTGACCTCTAATCAGATCAGCACACATCTTATAAATCAATCTCTAAATTAACCAAGCCGGAGCTCTGCCAGCTGTAGTGTCAGCTGCCAGCACGCTCCTCACCCCAGTCCCCTCTCCTCGGCCACCTTCCCTCCCTGCTCCCCAGGTGTGTGGCTGCAGCATTTACCTGTCAGGAAGTTCTGATAGCGGGACTCGGTCCTGCTCCCTGGGAAAAAGCAGAGGGACAGGTCATGCTGGGGCTCGGGGTGAGCGATGGGAACCATTAGATGATGGACCCACTGAGCATCTTGGCATCAGCAGCTCTGTCCCACTCAGCTTTTTGCTTGGGGCTGGGGGACATGGCTGCAAGGTTGGACACTCCAGGTCAGAGGTGTTGGGACAACCAGGGGTGATATTTTAACTAGCCTCTCCCTGTGGCTCTAACCAGGACTAGTCAACCATAGCAGGGTGAGCGCTGGATGTTAAACCCAGACCCAGGCGAGTTCTTATCAAGTGTCACTGTGCAGACCAGACACCAGCTGGTGGGTAGGTGCTAACAACAGCAGTTAATTTTATCATCACCCAGCTCGTTTCCAGGATAAGCCCTGCCCACAGTCCCGCCAGTGAGTCAACAGCCTCTCAGAAGCTCCATCTTCCCAAAACGAGTGGGAGCTCCCAGCCAGCACCTACACAAACGAGCCGAGATTTGAAACATCCCATTTATGAATTCTGTGGTAGGTGCTTCCCCCATGGCTGCATGGATGAGGAGAGCATTGAACCGGTGCCCATCCTGGGGGAGATACTCACCGTATCCAGCATGGCAGGAGGCACCGAGCTCCTCGGTGGGTTTCCTGAAATAGAGAAAAGGGAACTAAAATCCCAGGTCTGAGCAAACCGTCCCAGGGCTTACAAACCACAGCAATGACTAAGCCAGAAGGACCATGTGTGAAACTTCCCCATACAGGAACCACATCAAGCAATGGGAAGTGAAGAGTTTGGGGTCAAATCCCAAGATGGGAATAGCTGTGCCTGAATATTGCAGCAGGGTTATTGTGGCTGGGTAGTTCTTGAGGGGTTTTGGTGATGGGGAGAAGGGGATTTCTCATGTCAAACTGCTTCTTAGCAAATAGCCATTCCTTTTCCATGATGCACCTATTGTGGACAGCCACAGCTCCTCTCCTTGGGGTCACTTTAAATGGTTGACAGTAAAATGCAGTCAGACTGAAGAATATTCTGAAAAAGTCTAAATTCACTATTGACCATCAATAAGTTAAGCAACCTGATCTGGTTGAAGATGTCCCTGCTCACTGCAGGGGGGGTTGGACTTGATGGCCTTTAAAGGTCCCTTCCAACCCAAACCATTCCATGATTCTAAGTAAAGCCCAAGCCACATCTATAGGCTCCAGAACCCAATCCCAAATCCTGAACATCTGTACCTGTTGGGTGAACTTCATCCAGCCTTGGCTCTACAACTAGGTTTCGTTTGGGTTTTTTTACTTACCTTACTATTGATAAGTTTTCAGGTTCCTTAATTTGTTCCAGCCTTCGAGTCATAGCTAGCACCAAGAACAAAACAAGATGTTAACAATTAGGGTAGCAGCAGATATTTAAATGAGCACAGAGCATCCACCAGAGAGGATTCCCAGGTACCAGTAAGCATTTTTCTAACATATCCCAAAACACCTTCCAAAGTGTTCCTTAGAAGTACATAGTGGCCAAAATGAGAAACAAAGAGGAAAAGCTGGTGTCTGTGCAGACCAGAGCTAGTAGACACACCCTGGAGGAAGCTACAATCCCAACGTCTGCCTTAGGTCCTATTTTCCCCCAAACCCACTTGATTTGGCGGCCTTTCCCATGCTTAGCACCAGTAGATCATCAGCTTTGGTCAGGCTGGGCTGAAGCAGAGACTCGTAGGGGGTTTGTGGGGCTCAGACCCAGCAAGGTCCCAAGGAAAGGAGCAGCCCTGCAGAGCCCATCTGCAGACGGTGACATTTAATACAGACCCCATCAGCAGCTCCTATCAGGAGAACAATCAAAAGGTCAGCACCTAACCCAGCCTGCCGCAGGAAGCAGCCAGGGGTGATGATAAGTGAGTCACTCCTGTCGATTCGGGTTCCCCCACACTGTCCTTTCCAGAGGGTGAACAGGGCGGTTTGAAGAGCCTGAGTTCACGAGGCGCCGCGTTTCAGTGACTTGTTGTCAATGTGAAGGGAGATTTTTTTCCTAGAGCTCAGAATTCACATCCCTAGAAGCACCTAAGGTGGTTTTAACCATGTTGGTCTCATAATTTCACTGCCTGGCTTCAAGGTGACCCTTTTATTTTTACTTCCCCATCCCCGATCTGTGCACACGGGATCTCGACACGCAGAAGCCCCATGCAATGTTCATACTCACTAGAATGCGACCGAATCACCTCAAACCTCTGCTGGCTTTTGAGCCTGGAAAAAATAGAGGTACAACCTCAGCTGAATTTTGGGGTCTATGACAAGGAAAACCACAGAATCACAGAATGGTGGGGGGTTGGAAGGGACCTCAGGAGATCATCCACTCCAACCCCCCTGCCAAAGCAGGTTCCATACACCAGGTTGCACAGGAAAGAGTCCAGGGGGGTTTTGAACATCTCCAGAGATGGAGACTCCACACCCTCTCTGGGCAGCCTGTCCCAGGCTCCATCACCCAAAATCAATATAAGAGCTGCCTGTTTGGTGAGCAGAGGGATGAGAGCAGAACCTCCATGCTGGGCTTGGTGAAACACCAAGGGGCATTGCTCAGCAGGTCATGCAGGACCCACATGAGCTGGGAGCAGCTTCCCAGACTCCTCTTTGACACTTTAAAGCCAAGATGTGCTTATGGACCATTGGCAGAGCAGCTGACATTAGCCAAGGGATGGACCCAGGGATGAGGAAAACATCATTTAGGATAATTCCTTCTCTGACAATTCATGCACTAATCAAGGCCAGGAGAGCATTTCACCCAGAAAAACCTGGGTGTTCACCCCCAAAATGGCTCCTAAACCCACTGCTTCACCTCAGCTGCTGTCCCTGCCCCTCCCAACATCCTTTAACATCAACCTGAAATAAATAACATCCATGATCAGCAATAAAAATAACACACATGGCCAATAACCTCTTTGCTTTTTAGTTAAAAGGAGAGCTGCTCTTCAGAGCACAACAGGAGTCAACGGCTCTTCTACTGCAGGTGCACACGGGCACTTATTAACTCTGATTTGGGGACCCTACAAGCATCCCTTTCCTACCCTGTTTTCATTCAGGTCACCCCCCCGTCCCACAGCAACAGGGCTGGCTGGGAGATGCGGTGTGAGATGATGGACCTCACTGCAAAGGCTGCAAATAGCCAGAGTTAAACCACTTTGCCTGCAAAAAGCCCTGACTAACCCAAACCAGATCTCTGAACAGAGCACACGACACCACGAGCCTGAGGTCAAACCAACCCATCCAGGTATAAATGTCAAGAAATCAGGATGATTTGGGATGAGCCCGCAGGGGACGGAGCCTGCGCTGGCTTTGCCATCTCTCTGATGACCACACCGAAGCCTTTTCCCTCATCCTGGGGCAGAAGCAAACACCCCAACCCCACAGAGGCCTTCCCAGAGCCCCTCTGCACCATGTTTGCTCCTCTCGCAAAGGTTAAAAACCAGCTTTTTTTGTTTTCCTTTATATCATTCAGCTGTGGTTTGTCTGTTGCTGAAGGAAATAAGGGGGTGTGTGTGTGTACGATGCGTTTCCTCCGGTGCTCATGCTGCAGGTCGGTGGTTGCTCTGGCACAGGGTCTTGTTTCTGAAGTTTCCAACCTCTCTACCTCATCTTGGGACATGATGGGACGGGATAAGGACTTGCCCTTCCAATTCTTCCAGATCGTTTTTCCAACTAATTAATAACTCATAAGCATCATGGTAAGAGCTTCAGTTTAATTTCAGATGATTCTTTGTAAAGGCCCCTGGGCTGGGACGCGCTGCCCTGCACACCCCGTTCTCGGGTTCTTTTATTCGATATAAATCTGGATTTGAGCTGTGAGGTGTGGAGCAGGGCTGGCTCCAGCCAGGATCTCACCCCGGCTGAGATGTTTCAGGGAGAAGAACAATTATGAAAGGCAACTTACTGGTTCCTCCACTCACTTGGCTGCTTCTCTCGCTTGGTAGCTGGATGAGAAGGAAAAACAAAACAAAACAAAACAAACTTTTAGAAAAGGTTAATTTGGGAGTTAAAGATCAGAGAGACCAATAAAACACATCCACAAAACTTCAACCCGGAGCACAAGAGGACAGCGGAGGCAGCAAGCAGCCCTTGTGATAAAATTTTGGGTTTTTGTTTGGGGTTTGTTTGGTTGTTTGTTTGTTTTTCAAAAAACCATGTTTAAATTGTAGTATTTGTCCCAGCCAGTGCAAAGCCATCAAGGCACCTGTTCCTGCCTAAAGAACCCCAAACTGCAGCCTGGGAAAACCCACTCAGAGCTACAAGGTGGGATCAAAACCCTACTGGGGTGGGTGCTCACCCCACTCTCTTTGTATTTAATGTATTTAATACACATTAAATTAATATCTATTTAATTTAATACTCGTATGTATGAATTTATCCCCCAGACTCTCCCTCCGTGCCTGCTCTCCTCCTGCCTGTCTGCCCCAGGATTTGTGCATTCAGAGATGCTCCTCTTGTGTGGGATGTCCCAAAGCCACCCACCACTGTGACCACAGAGAGGGGTCTCCAGCCCAAAGTGTTGTACCTGTCCCAGGGAATGGGTGCTGCAGGGTTGGGGGGTCCTTCCCCCCCAGCTGCTCTCTGGCCACCAGCAGTGACCCTTCCCAGTTCAAGCTGCTGGGAGCATCTCTGCGAGGGAAAAGCTCCCCGAGCCAGAGCAGGGCTGAGCAGAAACAAACCCACTCAGAGAGGACATCCCAAGGGGAAAGGGTCTGCCTGGTCAGGGCAGGACCCCAAAACATGTGGGCAGGACCCCTAGGGATGTGGGCAGGACCCCAAAGCACATGGGCAGGACCTTACCAGAGAGGTGGCACTTGACGCAGAGGCTGACAGCCGCCCCGAGCAGCATCAGCGCGGTGGCTGCCCACAGCAGCTCCATGGCCCGGCCGCATCCAGCCTGAAGCACAGAGCCGAGGGGAGCCCCGTGAGCTGCTGTACCCCACCAAAAAGCCAGGTGGGGTTTGACTTCACACCCCCAAAGAGCCGGGTGTTCGCCGAGGGTGCAAATGAGACGTCAGGGTTCTGTGACGGGTGGCAGTGGCAATGTCCTGTCCTTGCTGCTCCGTCTGAGGGGCTGCCCACACACTGGCAGCTCC